GGCCAAAATACTCGCAAGATGTGACAACCGCGTGAGCCGCGATCTGCTCGAGTCGTGGTTCTTAAAACCCCAGCCCATCAACAAGCACAACGATTTGGCGTTCTCATATTGCGTACTGAGACATTGCTTTAGGAAAAAACGGATAATTATCGTACGCACACAGACTGCTACTATGAACTAGAAATATCATGCAACCTGCGCATGTTTCAACGCTATCTGCGCATGACTATGATCCCATCACCTATGGTTAAGGATTCCCGACGGAATCCAAAACGTCAGGAGCATAAAACTATTGTTCCAGTGGTTGCATCTCCTTTTTTAAACTGCTTCCTGGAACTCGCTTATCCACCTCTATTGTTCATTTTGTTTTATTGGGTAACTTGCGATAAAGGCTTCATGTAGTTGATCAGATGCAATTTACTGTCAATTCAATGCTGGAGGCTACTTTCAGTGGCCAATGTCTCGATTTTCCGATAAAGCCTGATTTAAGCCTGGGTGTTGACAGCTATATCAAATTATAAACGTCACAGTGATAGCTCGGGTGAATGGCATTGCAGACTTCACCAAAGAAAGCGCGTGTATTGTGACAATCTGCCACCCGGTGCAACTGTGCTTGTTCGCACTGCCTTCGTTCGCGAAGCCTCGTACGTTTTGCGGATTTTTCCATTTGCACGCCCGCTGTTAACGCGCCGCGTCAACAGCGGGCGGCAGTCGACAGAGCACATATCCCACAGCCAAAGCTTCACTTATACACACAACTTCACGGACACACCTGTCGTGCAGACGCAGCCGGAAATTGGCTCATAACGTGACCTTTGCACCATCCATTTTCCGCCAGTAAATCTCAAATTCCGTCTGCTCTGACTCTTGATTTAAGGGAGCCTTATTTTTGTCGACACTGCGACATGCTTACCAATAGAAGTGAAATTGCGAGTTCCAGGAAACTGTTTAGAAATAGACGTGACCACCTGCACAAGAGTTTTATTTTCCTGACGTTTCGGATTCCAAATAATGGTTTTCAGGCCCTCAGTCCATCAACGAGCGCAACGATTTGGCATTTCCCTACTGTGTACTGAAAAATTGTCTGAACAAGAGAATAAGTCACGTAGGCAAGGCCGGGCCCAGCAACAACTCGGACGGCAGCGAGCATAATTGTCGCGCGATTATCAACCTCGCGTCCAACATGGACAAAGAAATCCCGACGATTAGCGAGTCGAACGCGAAGTGTCAGGCCATCACCGCACCAACTAAGACCCTAAAAAGTGACTAAGGGAGATGGACGGTAAATTATAGTACACACGCGGACGAAAACATTACGAACTATAAATACCGCACAATCTGTGCATGTACCACCCTCATCTGCTCATGGCTCCGATTATCTTACCACAACCTATGATTATGAATTCCCGACGGAATCATTAACATCAGGATAATAAAACTCTTGTTCCAGTGGTTGCGTATATTTCTTCTGAAATACAACCTGCGACATTATTAAGACTGCCACACAACTCGTGGGCTCGCAGTAAGTCAGGCCGCAGAATCTGTGTAGGAAAATACACAATTTTTGTCATACCAAGGGCTGAGCGCTTCTGCTGCTAGCTGAATCGAGTAGACTGATTATGCAAGGCGCCTTTTGCACAGGAGCTGAATGAAGTTCACGTTTGACTGTTGGCGATGACATCATGATTTATGCCAAGAAGATCGATTCACACACTTGCGGCCACTCTCGAGAAGTTCAGTTTCACTGACCTTGCTGCTGATGTCTAAGTAGTCGTTTGGGGTACGGCCTCGCCACGGTGACAGTACAGTGCAGTGTTACCTGCCGACAAGGTCAGCTTTTAAAGATCTGGAGACCCTACAGCTGAGCGCTTGACAACCAGGTAATGGCAGGTTCAAAAAGGCTTAAGGTCAGCTTAGCTGCGTTTTTGAAGAGCACGCAGGTCCAGCCAGTCAAACAGAAGGGTGTCGTTCTCCCGAAGTCACTAACAATGAGCTTTTGTTTGAAACCAACAAAATGTTTTTTTCAATCATGCAGGGCTCCTTTACTAAAAACTAAAAATCACATAAGGCAATGAAAAGCTGATTTGAAGACAGCTTTGGACAAGTTGGCACGCGTCAATTGCAAGGAATTTTCCTCGATGACTGAGTTGCCTCGGCATAACCCGGCAAAACAAGGTAAGGGCGTTGGACCCTGATGAAATAGGTATTTAATTAGATGGCGTGCGCGAAACGCACGGATGTACGCTCGATGTTCGTTGCCAACCTTCTCACAAATTAGCCTGCGGTCCGCGATCACTCTTGAGCGAGCCTCAAGGCATAACGGGAGAAGTATGTTCCGAAAGCCGGTGAATCAGATAGCAACTTACTTCCATCATTTTCCCCATTGTAACCGACAGGGCCAAGAGCCCTGGTGCAATGGTAGAGTGTTGAATTCAACGACTAAAGGTTCCGTGTTTGAATCCCAGGAAATCCACACCCGGAATTGCGTATGACGGGCTGATGATGGGTTACAAGACACATATGTCCATTTCAGTCCTCCTAGTTTTTGTAGGTCCCACACCATATGTATATTGCTTCTTTTGACCGAGAATTGTGTTATATTTTTGTAATAATCGTGTAACACTGTGTAACCATTTGGTAAAGTTAATTAAGTGACACATTTTGAATTATGTGCCGAGGACTTCAACAGATGTACACTGGGGATTTAGTGGACGTCACCAAGAAAACTGTGTGGGTCTCCTGATGCTCGTTGTGACACATTTTTCGAATCCGTTTTACCTAAGGACACCAACCTGTAGGCGACGTAATAAAGAGAGTTGCTGTAGAGGCCGTTCCCCTAACTTGTTATGGTGGAGCTCATAGCGCACATTAAATACACACATTTGGTTCCTACCAAGGTAATGTCTAAGCTATTGACGGAGCTGATCAGTGAGTTGACAAGCCCCTAGCGCACGAATGCTAGTTACCGACAATGGGGGATTTTCTATCACAAGCACACTCAGGTATCCTTCCTTTATGCGAACATTGCAAAAGAAGATGTTGTTTTTAGGAGCAGGCCTAATGACCCGCTATCATACTGTCCTGATTGGTCGTCTCACGGTGGCCTATCGATCGGTACAAGAAGCGTACCGTCGTGGTTAGTGTTCTGCCATATTACTCTGTTCGGCATATTATTATACTCGGCATATTATCTCTCCCCTGAGGCCACCATCTGATTGACGGTGTACCGAGAAGTTTCCTCGGCAAGAGAATCAGTCACGTGGGAAAGGCCGGGCGCAGCAACAACTCTGACGACAGCGGGCATAATTGTCAGGCCGTTATCAGGCCCGCATCCGACGCTGACAAGGAAATTTTGGAAATGTGTGAGTCAAACGCGA